GGAAGAAATCCATAGGAAATTATTAAATTCTACTATCAATAGATATTGGAAATCTATAAAAGAATCTTCATAGACAACATCTATCTAGGCATCATATCCAAGATATTTATATTAGGCTCTTTAAGCTCTGAGAGTTTTTCCATTTTGTACTACCTTCTTTTCGTATTTGTCGTTACCTAGCAGCATATCTAGTTGGCCAAGTAACAAAATTGTTAATCTAACAGCCTGTAAAACAAACATTGTTCAGTACTCAAAACGAAACACAGACAGACAGTACACAAGTTAGAATACAGAAACACAGTACATATATTATAGATAAAACAACTGTATATCTGCCTACCTATATATATATATATATATACATGTATAAATAAGGCATAGACATGCAACAGGTGGAAGCATCTGTAGCAAAAGGTGAGCATAACATTTGGTCTATGGTTTTTGACTTTTCGACTGCGAGCTACAATTCCACGCAGATTTCGCGCGTATCCGTGAGACACAAATCGCTAATGTTATACGACTGCTGGAGAAGTCTATTCAGCGTCTCAAAATATCGATCATATTGCCCCGAATGGCCAATGATTTGGATGAAGTGGAACCTGTGCTAAGTAACACCGCTTACAAGCCGGCCATAAATCTGTTAAGGAGACTGAAGGGCTTAGATGTCGTCAAAACACAGATGCTTGATATCGAAGTGCTGCACATCATTGACTATTTTCAATCCAACTATCAGATGTACGAACTGTTTCCAAGGTATCTCAATAACATATCGGAATACGATAAGACGCTGTTAGTTGCCTTCGAAACGATCCTGGCCGTGGCCAAGCGTCATCTGTGGCGCACATCCAAGGCTGAGATAATCATGGAGCGTCAACTGCATGTCATGTACCTGGAGAGAGAAGAGACAATGAAGCGCATAGAGTATTGCAAGAAAAAGTTAGGATCTAAGAAAGCGCTCTTGCGCTGGAAACGGGCAACCCAACTCCTGATATTAGAAAAACAAGAGGCTGATCTGGCCAACAGAAAGTGGAAGAACAATGTGCGCATCCAGAACGAAATGTGAGTTCATTGAAGGCGTCTGCGAAACTATAGTTTCTACTTTCCACGGTTCTTCCACACTTTGCAGTGAGAAACGTAATCAGACCCTGCGCAAGCACCACGAGGTAAGCGTGCAAAAGCAAATTGAATTGGCGGAGGAGTTGGAAAAAGCGCAGGCCGAATACGAAAAGTTGATCACGAAGAATGCGGAAAACGAAAAAGGGTTGCGCGATGAAAAGTAAGCAAAATTTTACTAAAGGAACTTGACACATAGAAAACGAAAGCAGGCTTATTGTGCACTTAACTTATCTAAATAAGAATCTAGATGAATTACTTGACACAAAAGGGAAACTTAGGCTTATTTCTATCTTAACTTATCTAAAGAAGCAACTATATGTAGTACTCGAAACATAGAAAGAAAGCAGGCTTATTGTGCTTTAAACTTATCTAAATAAGGAACTAGATGAATTACTCAACACACAGAAAGAAAGCAGACATATTGTGCTCGTAACTTATCTAAATAAGTATCTAGATGAATTACTCAATACATGGAAGCGGAAAGGGCTTATTGTTTTCTTAACTTATCTAAATAAGGAACTAGTTGAAGTACAAACAAATATAAAAACAAGCTTATTGCTTTCTTAACTTATCTAAAAAACAGTCTAGATGAAGTATATAAAAAAGCTTCTTTTTTCTTATCTAAATAAGAATCTACTTGACACATGCAAAGAAAACAATTCCAACAGAATTTTCAACAGTAAACAAATAATAACTGAATTTTAAGTGAAAGAAAGAAACTTAAGCTTAGACAGCATATAAGAATCCGAGAATAGCTATAACTCTTTCTAGCATTCGTTAGCATGCAAACTTTCTAATTGTTTAGTACTTTTGTTAGATCTAATATACCTTTATTTACCCGGAACAGAAACAAACTGTTGATACAGCTTGAGAACGCTCTGCACAGGTACGATTCGAATGTTGGCGAAAAGTTGCGCGAGCATCTCCGATTGGAGGATATGTATAATGCGGCCAAAAAAGAATTGGATGACTTTATGGTATACTATCGCAAAGAAGAGGCCGTCTACAACAAGATTGTTGTCCAATACGAACAGGAGGAACAGCGCAAGCACCAGCAGAGCATCCTGGTCTTCATGATGAATCGGGCTGCTCGCAAGATTCAAACATATTGGCAGGAATGGCGCCAAGCTAAGCAGAAGAAGGCTCGCAAAGCCGCCAAGAAGGCGAAAAAGAAGTGAACGCAGCACAAATGATATGTTTCTTCCGCTCTATGTGAGGTTAGGTTAAAGGTTCTTGCATGTAGTTTTTACCAACACTTAGCATACAAAAGGAATATCTGAAATTCATTATTTTTTAACTAATTTTGTATACTTTAAAAAAATGGTTTCAATTTAAGATTGATTTCTGAATTGAGGCCAATTTTCGAACAATTCATTTTGGATAACTTTGACATGCAATGAACCATAATCAAAATTTCTGATGCTTATGTTTTGGACTTCACCTTGATACATTCTGCACATCTCTTTTGTCACTTGCCCGTAAAAAGAACTTGTAGAAACTGCTGTATTAAACGCTAAAACTATATTAATGCCCGTTTTATTTTTTGTCAGCTGCAACCTTCTACTTATTGCACAGGGCCAAAACGTTGAGGAAATCACCTTTTAGTAGCTCTATTAAAATGCCATCATCCCCGGCGTAATTGCAGCAGTATATTCTGCCGACAATTAGCGAACTCACACTGAGTTCACATTTTCCGGCTGTTTTATGGCTAGATGTGCCGCGGTAATTAGCTTTTATTTTCCTCACATAAAAAGAACTAACAAGAGGTTCTAGTCGGGAGCTCCCGACTAGGGGATACCCTGAACCCTCTTCTTCCAACATCAAATGCATATATATATTCTATTTTAGCTCTAGCTCTTATTATTTACCAAAATTGCCCTAAAAACAGGATATCGATATAGATTTTTATCGATTGCTTGGAAACGGAGCAAGTTATCGATTATCGGCAACAAACTCGATCTGCGCGGGAAAGAGGAGCATCTACATCTAAAATTTCAAGTCTCTAGCTCTTACAGGTTCTGAGATCCTTGCGTTCATACATACGGACGGACGGACGGACGGACGGACGGACATGGCTAGATCGACTCGGCTATTTATGCTGATCAAGAATATATATACTTTATGGGGTCGGAGATGCTTCCTTCTGCCTGTTACATACATTTGGATTTTGCACAAATACAATATACCCTTATACCCATTTTTAATGGGTTCAGGGTATAAAAAGGAGCAATAAAATGCCTTAGAAGAAGAAGTTGGGCTCTAGCTTTAAAACCTTTCAAACTTCACAGAAGTTAAGTTCAGATAAAAGATATAATATTGTAGAATATATATCTATATATCTACGAATCGTATCTAACAATCTCTAGAACAATCTCTTTCTGCATACGGAATTTGATGTATGTATGTGATCTGATTTGAATGGGATTATATATATATATATATATATATATATATATATAAATTAAAATAAAATATGCATTTTTATCTGCCTTCTAGAGACTGAGTTCATTCACATACATAGATTAAGGCCCATAAACCGAATTCCTTTGTCTTTTAAATCCATTTAAATCTTTTAAACTGCATATAAGTATAAAAACTCATACGTATACTCAATTTGCTGGGCCTGGGTTCGCCGAGTTCTACGAGGTTATGAAATTATAAAAGATTAAACAGCATAACCTCAAAAAAAAAAAAAAATAACAAAAAGGGAAGAAAAAAAACCTGTGTAAACGAAGAGGCAAACAAATGAATTTTCAGCAATTTTGAACGCATTGCGACGAAAGCTTTGACAAGTCGCAGATGGAAGGAGAAAATGGTTTTTGGGGTTTGGGCCAGGTCTCTAGCTGTGGCTTCTGTGGGGCTTCGCTGGCTTGCAAAATGTTTACCCAACACACACATACATACATACATCCAAACACACACACACACACATACACTGAGTGACGGACGTAGAGCGAAAGACGTCCCAAGCCGAATTTCGTGGCGAAAAATGGCGCATTGCTGTCGTCGCCGTCGCCGTCGACGTCGCCATCGCCATCGCCAGTGACGACGTCAGCGTCGCAGTCGCAGTCGCAGTTGGGCCAATGTTGCTGCATTGTTACTTCATCGTACCCTCCCGCTGCCCCTTGTCTAATTTACAGAGGTTAACATACTTAACTTGTTGGCATGCGTTGAATTGGACGACATTGCGCCAAAGGAAAGAAAAACACATTGCGACAATTCGCTGCGGCAAATAAAAAAAAAAACGGCAAAAGCAAAAAGAGCGCGGCCAAAGAGAATGATGTGGAAACTGACCAACAGAAGGGACCAAAAATTGAATGGGCAATATCATAAAATGCATGCGTGAGTATGTGTGTGCCTAAGCATGTGTGTGTTTTATGTTAATCTAAATGAGGCTACGATCTACGTAGGATCAGCGTATTGGCCGCAAGGACAAGCCCGCATAATTGCCAAAGGTCAAGCCCGATATTTGATCCTTGTAATCTCATAAATATTATTAACAAATGCAATTAGCTGTCACATAATCTGTCACCCAAAGGCGCCGGCGCGACTGTTGCAAATTCGTCCTCCACATTTCTTTACACTTTGCCTCTTCTTTATAGCGTTAACGCAAAGCAGCGAATACGACAAAAACGAGAAAACGCAATGGAGAGCGCAGCTAACCGATTCGCTCTACAACCGTTTCGCTCAAGTGCTTGCTTGCAGCAGCGAGCGTTAATTAACAGCAGTTATGTTGTATAACAGCACCGTTGAGCATAACAGCTTGGCTAGCAGCTCACTTGAGCAGTGCCAAACACGAGTGCAGCTCATTTGAGCACCTAACAGCGGCCATTTAACATTTGCTTTGCAGCCAAACAGCAGCCCAACAGCGCAAATTTATTGTAGTACGCTAACGGTTTTTAAACGGTACAGTTACAATTGAGTTGTCAACCGTTACGGACGCAAGTTCTGATTAGGATCGTGAGTTACCCACAATAGCAAAATATTTAATACACAAGCCACAAAAATTGAAGAGGACTTCTAGTCAGGCAGCGTGATTACCACAAAAAAAAAAACCCCACACAAAATTAACAAAAGAAATTTAAAAAAGTTTTAATATTTGTATAAACCGAAATCGAGCAATTTGCATATGTATTGACGAGTGTGCGCGCGTGTGTTTCATCAATTGTATCGCACAATAGAAATATCTGAACAAAAACCAAAGAAAAAATAAAGAAGAAAAGCGCAAGACCCAAAAAAAATAAAAATAAAAATAAAAATTATACATAAATTCGGCAGAGCAACAAATAGCAACAAGAAATTGCCACGGCGAAAGAAAAGCAGCGTCGCTGCCAGCGGCGACGTTGGCGTTGACGGCGATGTTAACATTTCTGTCGCTTTTTGCCTCGCATCATTTTCTGGTTTCCTTCATTTCATTTGTGTTCGCCGCCGGCAACGACGCTGCTTGCTTTTTGTTTTTGTTCGCTGTTGTTGCTGCTCCCGTTTATTCACACAGAAGTTTTCAAACGTGCATTTTCTCTTCATCTTCTTCTTCTCGATCTTTTACAGTGTGTTATTAAAAAATTTGCTTTAAGCGCAAATCATTTACAAGTTATACGTTGAACGCGCGTCGCCGTCGTCGTCCACGTAAATTCCACTCACACATACCACAGCAAAAGTCGCCGCCAGCAGCAGCCGCAGCGGATTAACCTTTAGCTACATTTCTTTCCAAACACAACAAAAACCCAACAACAAAAATGGTAAGTTCATTAAATTCTGCAACAGCACCCACCTCTCCATCCCCCCCCCCCCCCCTCTTGCCAATCTGGCTCATTGTTTACACAAGAATTTCCATTGAAATTTCAACAATTTGGCGAAATCTCAGACACAAAGGTTAAAATTGGACATGTGTTCTCCCTTGTACGTGTGTGTGCGTAAGTGTGTTTGTGTATTGCGTGTGCAGGCGCCAATTGCTTGTTTGTCCAATTGGATTACGTTTGGCCTTAGCCCTTCAGCAGCAGCTGTGCCGAAATTCACCCCCTTGCCCAAAAGCCACTTTTGAAACCCGAAACGTGATTTCTGCCTGCTCAAAAAACGGTTTTTCTTAACAGGCGAGGGTTAGTTTTTAATGAGTCACCTTTGAGAGGCGTCAGAACAAATAATTACCTTCTTTATCATGTAAAAGTAGATAGCATTTTCATGCATTTGTCATGGTTGTTTTTAGAGCACACAACAGAAGACACTTAGGAATACGAATTTTAGATGACAAAGGAGGTTAAAGTTCAAAATCAAAATTCCTATCTATAACAGTTTTTTCATAAGATTTCGCTTGAAATCTCAGCTAAATATTGTTTATTTTCTCTGCCTTAAAATTGTCTTTGATATAAATGTTTAATTGTTTTTTTACTTCGTTAATTTCATTTTTTCAATAAATAATGGAGAGAATTCAGCTTATATTTAAATTGAAATTGTTGCTATAATTTTCTTATATTATATTCGATCATGAATCCTATTTGGTTTTCTTTCTGTGTAAAATCGCCCAGTAATATGTCCGTTTATTGGGCCATAAATTCCAATTAGAAATTATGGCTAAATCAATCTTCTTTTTATTAGTTCACGCTCTGCCTTAATATAAAATGTGTTTCTAAAATAATGGGATATGTATCTATTTAAATAATGCAAAATATATATACAAAAACATTTTTGCGTCAACAATATTTTCAAGTTCACAGTTTCAAAAGTTGTTGACGACCCTAGCAATAGTTCGATGGGGCGAGTGTTGTGAAGGGTTTTACCTGAAAAACAAGCCCCGCGTAGACGACCCCGCCCCGCCCCATATAATTGACGTATGGCAGGCAGAAAACTAAAGCAAATCAGCAAAACTCGTTATCAGAGACGCGTCCCGGCCCATCCCTTGCGCCACGCAAAGGCGACGCGTTGGCTCCGCTGGCAGCTGTGTTACACACACACACAAGCATGCGTGTGTGTGTGTGTATGTATGTGTGTGCACTGCAGAAGTTAGTTTATTGCAGCAAAGACGAACTGGTTATAAAATCGAAAATAGAAGAAAAAAAAAAGTGTTGCCAATCGCTACTTTATCAGCACAATTTGCACCTACTCATAAATATGTACATATGGGGCAAATGATTGTGTGTGCGAGACAAAATTGATGATCAACATAACAGCAGCAGCAACAGCAGCGGTAGCAGCAGCAGTAGCAAGAACAAGAATAACGTTGCTTCCAGCAGCGCCACCGGCATTTTTATATTTCCTTGCAATTTGCTCTTTCTCGTTGTGTTTCGTTTCGCTTTATTTACCACGAAAATTGAGGTTAGATACGCTTGAAAGAAAAATATAAGCAAAAAATAAAATAAGAAAAGAAACGGCAAAAATTCTTTAGCTTTTGGAATTCTTGGCCGCCGTCGCTTTGTCGCGTTTCGTTTATTTGCTCAATTTAACCGTTTCGTATGCGCGCAGCAGTTGGCTCTCTTTCTCGCCCTCTCACACTCAGCCACATAACCGTTTCACACAGTTTTGCCTGGTTGCGTTTCGTTTCGCTCGCTCTGCACATTTGTTATCAATCGCTTTTCGCACTGCGTCGCTTTTGCTCTCTGCTCGCGCACTTTTATCTGCATGCGCTTTCTTTGGCGTTTTCGCAGTTGCGCTCGCTCGTTCACACTCTCTTTCTCTCTCTCAGTTGGTCGGTTGCGGCGCCTACGTTTTGTTGTTTTCTTCCATAACCGTTTCATTTGCCGCATTGCGGTTATTTTGCTGTTTCGCTTTCTGCTTTGGCTTCTGTCTCTGCTGCCGCTGCTGCTTGACCATGTTGTTGTTGCTGCTGCTGCTCTACTGCTGCTTGTTCTACTTTGCCATTCGCACAAGAATTTCATTGTAACGGGCAAACGTGTGCAGCGTGCAGCATAATGAAGAAAAGAAAAAAAACGTACATATTTTCTTTTTTCTTCGCCCCAGACGCCAAACGTGGCGACGTCGCCACATTAACCGCACATAATCCAATTTTTTTCTTCTTCAACTCATTTTACTGCTGCCTTTTCGACGTCTTTTTTTTTATTTATTTTTATTTGGCTTTAGCGCTTGCTGCGTTTGCGTTCTGATAAGAAAATACACAAAGTCAACGTCGCCGGCGAACCTTCTCTTGCTTGCAGCACGCGTCACTTAATTTAATTAGGGTTCTTCTTTTTTTTTTTCATTAATATTTTACAGCTCAAGCAAAATGCAAACAGTTTTTTTAATTAAAACAAATCGTTTACGTGCTCAATATTTAGGTTTGCATTAAACGTGATTCATGCCGTCGCGCGGGCGAGAGCTTAGATAAACACAACTTGATCTTCAAAGTTTGTTGACTGCACCGCGCTGCGCGGCATTATCTCATCAAGTATACAGCTCGTATTGTCTTCTCATTTCCGCTCAGCAAATTATTTCTTATTATGCTTTTCTTCTTTGCCATAACTTGGGCTCAGCAATGCTTTTTTCTTTTTTTTGTGACTCATTTAGCTCTGAGTTCATCAAAAGCGCTAACAAAAGACATTTGACAGCACATTTAGCACAGCAATTCCTTTTGTCCAAATAAAAGCTAGAAACATGTACATATGTACATACATATGTACATAAGCATGTATGTATGTATGTATATGCATGAGTGTGCATGTGCGTTTATGTATTGCTTAATGCCAATGTTAACCGGTTGGCAGCGGTTAACCGGCAACTCTCTTTTCGGCCTGTCCATTCGGCTTTAGAACGGCAAAAAAATTACTTGCAAAGTTCATTAATAAACCGCAATTTGCCGGTTTATTTTTTTTGTGGCAAACAAGTTGGCAGCTTTTAGCCAAATGCAAACAGGCGAATTAACCAGTTAAACGAAAGAGAGGGAGAGAGAGAGAACGAGAGCGAGAGAGATAGCACGTGAAAGCTATTAAAAGTAATGTTTATGCTTCATTTCATATCACATGTGCCATGCCTGAAAGCCCAATACAAACACACGCATACTGAAAAAACATTGCAGCCAGGTGTGCAGCATTGCCAATATGGCGTTAAGGTGGGCGTGTCAGCCGCGCATTTAAGGCTTGACAATTAGGCGGCAGCGCCAGCGATCTGGCTACGCTGTGCGCGGGGGCGGCGTTGCCATATTAAAAGCGCGCCAACGTACTGAGCTTTAATCTGGCTTTTGCTGCGCGCGCTTTGACTCGTATTTATGACATAACCTACTTACAACTGGGCAAAAGGAAAATAAGCCTTTTATCTAGCCCAGCGATAAGCCAAATTTCTATTGATGCCAACCCATATATACGGTAGTTACAGTGGTTCAAATGCCTTGCTTTCAAAGTCAAAATTTGCTCTGTGCGCAAAGTCTTAGAAATGCCTTAAAATTGATGAAAAATTTATGTGTTAGACATTTTGAATAGGCCAGTTTTTAGTTCTCTCTGAGCTTATGTTTTATTTCAAATGTACTTAGGGCTTTTTTTTTTTTTTTTTTTTACAAAAATTCCTAATTGTCAGTGCGAAATAGATCGATAATTTCTCAATTATTATTCAATTTATAGGTCGATAACAATATCTGAAGAATTTTCATTTCTATTAGTTCAAATTGGCCAAAGACGACCGTAAATATGTACAAATACACCTCATACACCTGGCGCTCTACAGTTGCCGGCGATCACGACGATTAGATATAGTTTCAGGCGTTGGTTTTGCCCAAGCTCGACGGAAGTTGACCATATACAGTATATATATATATACATATATACACACACACACATATGTGTGTGTGTGTGTGTGTTGCGATCAAACATTTTAACAAGTCTCTTATGTAACATTTAAACGCCTTGAAGTGATATGGCCTGCCCCTGCTTGCCCCCCTCCATTGATTAGATAGCAAATAGTTGGGTTTATTGATAGAGTCGCCCTATCTAAGGCGCTTTGCACTTCAGATTCCTGGCGAGCAGCCCGAAAAGCTCTAGCTGTTAAAACAGTCGATAAAGTTCGAAATCTATGAAATGTTATAATCGAAATTAAATTGCTTTGAAATGGGTCTGGGAAATGTTTGCAGCTAGAAACAAAATCTTGAAATTTGAATATGCTTTATTAGAAGCTAAATGAGATCACAAATAAGCTCGTTTTCTATGCGAGTCTAGCAATAAATATTTCTTCGCAAAAGGTTTCGTCATCGCAAACAGTTTAATCATAGAAATGAAAGGGAATGAAATCATTTTGAAGTTATCCCGCCTAAATCTATACAATTGCTAGAAAGTTTCTTTATACGATCTTCGACTGAATCATGTTTGCCTAAGTTTAACTTAAAAGCATTTTGTCTTTAATCTTTACAGTACTCATATCACGTTTTAATAGCCCAGAAATAATAAATTTCCAGGCAATCGCAATCGCTTTCGACAATCGATCAAATGTTTACCCAGAAACGAGCGGGACTTATGAGTATTACGAGCTTAGCTTGCCAAATCAATCGATACCATAAATAGAAGGCATCGAATCATTTTGAAACAATTTGTGTCTGACGTAGGCTATAAAAATAATCATTTTGTGTTTAATCATATTTCAAATGCGAGTCGTTGCTTTCTTGTTATTCTATATTATTTTATTTTATTTATTTTTATAGGGGCGCCGCCCATATAGTTCATGTGTGTATATAGCATATTGTATATTCAAATTGATGCATAAGACAAGTCCGTCAAAACAAATTAGACTCGAAACGCTAGGAAATTGACGCTTCGCTGGGCTGTTGGGCGCAGCTGTCAACAGGTTTAATTGTTTATAGGCCCGAGAAGCCTCTAGAGAAGGCTCTGCCCCAAACCTTGGGCATTCTCATGCAGCTTTAGTTACGTTTTTGTATGCCCCTAAAAAGAAACACGTCAACAACAGCAACAACAACAACAACAACTGACGTCAGCGGAACCCAACACCTTTTTTGTTTTTTTTTAGATACCATCGCTGAGATATGAGAACAACTGTATCTATAGACACATTCATATGTATATGTATGTATGCAGGGGTCTGGGCTTTGTTGAGTGCAAACAATATGCGAAATTATTCAAATGCTGCTTTTCTAAGACGTATCCCCCTACCCCGACCCCTGCCCCTGCCCTCCTTAAACGAATGGTTCGACATTGATTGTTCTCGCGTCTTTTTATGGTTGTTGAGGCTCTTTGACTTGGAACGCACATTGTATTGTAATTGCAAATTGTTTTTGCAAGGTACAATTGTCCTTATTTGCATTCCAGTTTGTGTCAATCATGATGATGATCTAAACTTTCTGACGTATTTTCTTGGCTTTTTATAAATTCCTGGCCATATTTGAAAGAGCTGTCTGAATGTGATTGCCGCGCAAGGCCGGGCAATACTTGCCAGTTTGTTGGCATTTAAATAACATCAAGTAGTCGTCGGCAGTTTCATCATTCATTAGCACTTCATAAACTTGACAGCAAATTAATTATCAAATATTATACATAGAAACAAGTTGGTTCAATCGAAAGCTGAATTATGGTATTTGAAAAAATAAGAAATTGAGCAACAAAACGATGTCTTTTCTCTTGATTAAATTTCTTGTCTTTCTCGCCGTCTCGTTTCTACAGGCCGATCAGCTGACAGAGGAACAAATCGCTGAGTTCAAAGAGGCGTTCTCGCTATTCGACAAAGACGGCGATGGCACCATCACAACAAAGGAATTGGGCACAGTCATGCGCTCCCTGGGACAGAACCCCACAGAGGCTGAGCTGCAGGACATGATAAACGAGGTCGATGCCGATGGTGAGTTCAAAATAATTATAATCTATGTGTAATATCGACTAGCAGTTACTTTATGTTGCGATTATTTCGAGAGGCCACGTTCTTTTCGATTCCTCCTTGTGTCGCATTCGTAAACGTTTTACCTCTAAAGCTGGTATATGGGAATTTAACAATCTGTAACTATGTAGGGATATAGATATTTATAGATAATCTTTGTAAGTATAAACCTATGGGAATATAACTATCTGTAATTCTGTAGGTCTAATTTATAGTTTTATTATGAGATAATACATGATTCGCAATATATACAGGGCATTACCATTCCTCTTTGTGTCGCTTTCGTAAACGTTTTAGTGACAAACTGAAAGAGAACATTATTCAGTTGGAATCTGATTATCGAATCCGTGAACTAGTTTTACTTGAGATCGGTTCGTTTTGACAATATTCGCTATTGTGCTAATTGCTTTGAACCCTTTTTCAAGCTAATAATAAACTCTTCGATAACCGCAAAGATCTATTCTTAAATTCAGCCGCCGCCGCGCTGTGTGTAAAATCCCGCTGGCGGAGATCATCAGACTATTGAATAGATCAGACAGACGGACGGATAGACGGTCGGGCGGACGGAGGGAGGGAGGGAAGGACGAGAAAACAACGAATTCTTCGTGTTTTCTCGCGTCTTCTTTTGCGACCGTCTAAAAATATGCAACAAAAACACGTCATAGCCATTAAAAATAGATTCGGCCAAAAATATTTGGCTATTGCTTTGCTGGCTAATGTTCTTTTTGTTCTTGTTGTTGTTGTTCTTGTAATTGGGGGCTGGCTGCTGTCAAAAATGCACACAGGATTTTTGACAAAAGGTGGTTGAGTTCCCAAACTGGGAGCGTGTCTTCTAGAGGAACGCTAAGAATTTGAACACAAAAAAACAAAAAAAGAGAAAAGCATAATTTGAAAAAAAAAAAACAAGTATATAAATTATTTTTAACAGCGCACGAAAAGAAATTGAGCGATAGGCGCCGCGCGCCATTTCGGCCAAAGGAAAATGTGTCGCCCGTTGAGGTTTTTCACCTTTTGCACCAAAAACTGCTCAACACTGCACACTTTTGGCCAGAGCGTGAGAAAGAGCGAGAGGGAGCGGGAGAGATAGATTGAGAGAGAGAGAGAGCGAGCGAAAGCGCTCGTGTGGCTTTTTATATGTATTTTTAGCAATTGTGAAATGTGTCGAGAATATCTCTTTTATATTTATTTTCTTCTTGCTTTCGGGCTATATAAATTTTCACAAATAATAAATCACTTTTTATGCCTGCGTGTGGGTGTGTGCGTGCGTGCGCGCGCTTCCTTGTGTACTGTTGCTTTTTGCATAATGCCCAAAGCCCGACAATTAGCTTAAAAATAAAACGCAGGCCCCACCCAATAAGCGGCAGCAGCACGCACACAAGCAAAACGCGACAAACGAGCGACAAGTGCAAAGTGTAACAAGTAAAAAGTGCAAGGAGACAAAATTCCAGCAACCGAACCAAAGTCACCCACATACGACAGCAGCAGCAGCAGCAACAACAACAACAGCTGAAGCAGCATCAGCAGCAGCTAAAGGAACAGCAATAACAACAGCAGTCGCAGCAGCAGCAGCTGGAGCAGCAGCAGCGCAGCAGAGGCAGCAGCCGTCAGCAGTCACTCTCTCACTTATTCACGCGACGTCTGCAGCAGAGCACTATCACCCTCTTGCTCTTCCACTCTGCCTGCAGAGGCTGTGTTGCTGCTGCTTCTGCTGCCGCTGCCGCTTTTGTTGTTACTTAGAGTTACAGTTACTGTTGTTGTTCTTGTTCTTGTTCTTGCTGATTCCTCTTGTACGTTTGCACGTGCAAAATGCGCATGTGATGAAAAACCCAGGGCAAAGTCTGCAAAAAGGCACCGCGCAGCGCATGCGTCAAGCATAGCGCAAAGGACAACAAGCACATAAAGCACGTGGATAGGCCACGAAGCAGTAGGGGAGTGGGCGAAATAGAAGCAACTGGGCGACTGAATGACAGACTTAGCGAATGACTGACTGACTGATGATTATCAGCACAGCTAAAAATAGCTTGGCTCACGGCACTTGAGAGAGGCTTTTGCTTATGTGGGCACGCGCGCGTGTGCGTTAGATGACGTATGCATGCATGTATGTGTGGAAGAGTTGAGATTTTATTACGAAATGGAGTTGAAAATAGAGTTGAATATATACGTGTGTATGTATTTTGACATATGTACATATGCCAGCTTAAACGGGAGTATATACTCGATTACAAGGATGTATTTGTGAGCAGAGGATGTTTCGATGTATGTCAATATATGTACTTGTTTCACTGATAAAATATAATCCTCATATTATCCAGGCAGCTAGGATTCTTTCCTAATTACACTCAGCTTGAGCTCATTTCTAAAATAGCGAGCATTTTAGCCTAGATATTAAACAAGGCATAAAATATAAATGTTTATGGCAAGTAAAATAGTTTCTAGAATTCTAGAAATTGTTCTTATTTTTATTCCGTTTTTTTACTACAAAACTGTGTGTGAAAAATTCCAAAATTTTAATGCTTTTTAATGGGTTTCTTAAAAAAGATCTACATTTTCGTATGCTCTACGAAAACGAAACAAAACTGATGTTAAAAAAAGCCTAATTTTGGCGTACACATTTTGGCTGGTCACACTGTCTGACAGTCGTAAATACAATTACAAGTGCAGTAATTTGTTTTCTCGGCGTTCACTTTTAATTACTTTACATGAGTTAAATATTAGAAACAAGTATTTCTGTTGTGCACTGTACAGGGATTTATTTGTTTAGCACTCATTCACATTTTGCACTATTCACATGGCTATTCATGGGGATTTTGTCGGTACAGTAACCCCGGGCGTATGGCGATTATCTCGCCGATTTAACGATCTGAGTGGGCAAATGGCATTTCGTGCATAAAATTATATAAAATGTATATATATACACACGCGAGTATATTTGAAATGTGTGTGTGGGGTAAATTTTGTAGTCTGTGAACAACAGACGGAAACATTAAACATTCATTACTTAAAATTTTGTTGGCATCGCCCAAGTTGGTTGACGACGACGTTGTCCAAAAACTGCAGCCGCATACAAACGACGCCATTAGAGAGACGCACCCCCCTGCCCGCTCCCTGGACCCCTATATGCCACATACCCCCCCAATCCCCCCATGCACACGTCAACCGCCTCCTCGAAGTGTCGTCGTCTTGGGAGTTGCAAATGGCACAACAATTGTCCAGCTATATGGAAATGAAATAAATTGAAAGCCAAGCGAAAAGTGGAATCAAGGAATCCCAATGTGTTATTTATAAAGAGTCTGTCCCAAGCAAACCAACTAAATTTAGCGTTGCAAAAAGAGTAGAAAAAAATCTTATTAAAATTTTAAATTGTCTGCACAAATTTGCGCAACGTTGCAAAACGTCTAGAGGGAAATGGAAAATGGAAGTGTGTAGATGACTCGTCTGAGTAATGGGTAATGGGTAATGGAAACCAAAAACCAAAAACCACCAGACATTGGCAACAGAAATTGGCAAGACATATCGTCATCATATGAGCCTTGTCAAAGCGTTTTTGTCTAAGGCGCGTCTAACAGTTCCCCAAGCATATATCTAGTTGGCCAAAAACACACACAAAAATGGCAAGAAATTTGTATTTATTTTGATGATTATTTTCAAATTCTTTTTTCGTATTGGGGAAATCCTAAGAGTCTGCATTAGCCAAATTCAGCGACAGAGTTCGCGTCAAAATAATGTGTATAAACGAACCCGAAACACCCCAAACATTATTTGGCGAGATATGTGCTTAAGATTATATATTTTTCTCTTTGCTTATTATTTCAATGCTCAATTCAATTATCATAATAATTATTTTTTGTTAGTCAATTTTCATTGCTAGCGTTTTTTATGATAAAGATTTCAATATTTATTTTGCTGTTTGCTTAGATTTAATGTAGTTGTTAATAGTCTTATTTTCGGCTGGGCCTCGCGCGTGTGAATTGATTTGTATTTGTATTTGTATTTGTATTTGAACTTGAGTAAGCGCAACTATAATTGACTGCGTCTGTGTCTGTGTTTGCGTGTGCGTGTGCGTGTGCGGCTATTAAATACGATAGCTAAACATTAATTTTACAAATCGTATGGTCTAAGGAATGTTTGCTAAACGATGGGGTAACATTGATTTGTAATGTGCGAGTGCTGAAAAAAATGGGTTACACTCGACATAAGCAACTATGATAATACTAAATCATAAGTTGTCAATGAATCAACTCCACTCTACTCAAAACAAAAAGTTGACTTCAAACCAAAATAAATGGCAACGAATAAATAAGAGTTGGCATTTTCATATTGCATAGAAAAGTATAGGAATGCAACAATTAGATAAAGATAAATTTGCATGTGAAGCGTTTAAGAACAGCAGACAAAAAAGAAGTATGAAATTTTGAAGGTTATCAACTTAGAAATAGAAATATGCAGAGATTATTAGGAAGAAAGAGAAATATGTACATGTTTAAGATTGTATCACAAAGAGGAATGCGAAAGAGTATGTAGTCAAAATTAAAAACGTTAAGGAACAGCAAGACAAAGCAAAATTGAAAAGTAAGAATCGTGAAAGAGTTGTGCTAGGGAAAAGGGAAATATATTTATAGTGAGCCATAAGTACCGACTAGTTTAATGTTTAAGATTGTAGCACAAGGAGGAAATTAAAGAATATGCACTCAATATCTTAAGCGTTAAGGAACAGCAGCACAAAGCAAAACTGATAAAGAAAAATGGCTCTTGTGGGAAAACTTTCCAAGCACCAGTTAAATAAATAATCAATGGGCCCGAACTTGGCAAACTCCTTCAAGCCCTTGAGACAGTCATGAAATGGGGCCGAGCCTAAACCATAATCGTAACATTATTCTCAAAGATTAGCCACGCACCATTAAGAGAGCAGACATTAGTTGGTTATATTATACATTTTATAGAATACACAATGCAATCAAAAGAAAACTTTTGCAATAGACATGTGCCAGGCCCTGCCCCAGAGTCAATAACAATTAAGGCCTCAGAGTTCGACGGAAAGTTTTTTGGTTAGGCAAAAGAAAAGTTTCATTTTTGGCCAATGGAGAACCATAAAAACTGCCGACCCTCCCCAAACAACAAAAACAAGAACAACAGAAGTGGAAGTGAAAAAAAAAACAACAACAACAACTCGAACTATGCTCAAACTTTAAACACAGAATGTGAAGTAAAACTTTTTCAATTAGTCTAACAAGAATTTTAGTCAGAGACAGAGGCCACTTCATTTGTGCCCCGACGTAAACCTCAAGTTAACCTCCAGAGCTTGCTCCGTCTACACCCCCAAAACACGGGGCTTAGCAGCTCGGGCTTATCTGGCCAGGGCCAGCACTAAAGTTATCAACGCCACAAATGTTGCGCATACGCCACGTGTGCCACACCAAGAAAAATAAAAAAGAGAAAACAAGTTGCGAAAAGTTGAGCCAATCCTTTCAGTCAGACCTAGGTCAGCGGGCGGCTTGGACGGGGGGACAGATAAGGCACGGGCTTAGACAAATATGAAAATCTACTTGATTATGGCTGTGAGGGGATTTATGTGTGTGTGTGTGTGTGTGTGTGCGAGGGCCAAAAGGGATTTAAGAGCTCTAGTTTATATAGCCGACAGGTACACAATGAGGGCGTGCCACAGTCAGCTGCCAACTTCATAATAAAGAAATATGTTCGCCTCGTAAATTGCCCCAGGGAAAGTGTGAAAATAGGTAAAACGCTCTTAAAGGAATTTCATGGCCTGAACATTTGTTACAATCGTGTGATGGGGAGCATTTCAGAAGTTCTTAGCACCGAGGTGAGAAACTGTAAAGATATATTGTTAAAGCTCGTGTTTTAACAGGCAATGCAGATTTCGCCTGAATATAGGAATGCAAATATATCAACTTTTGGTAGGCGTATATTTCTCTACAACGAATTTAAAACTAATAAATCGAATAGACATTTAAATGTTTATGATTGCTTTTGGACCTCTTAAACAGAGCCAAAAAATAAATTCAGCTTATTGAAACAGTGAGAATGAAACTGAACAAAAAAAAAAAAAAATAATTATATAGATCACAAGTATGCAAATGGCTTTGGTTACACTTAAGCATGGTTTATAAAAAAAAACAGGTCACACTGGCCTTAAGTGAGGTTAGATACGGTTCAGTTTGGAACAGTGAAAATAAAACAAAATAAGTTTTCAATCGAAATTTAGAGAAATGGGGATTGCAAACTTAAGACCCATAAGTTTTTCAAATAGTATGAATTTCTATTTAATTGATCATTAAAAATAGTGGACACACTGGCATTAAGTTAGGTTATGTACGGTACACTTTGAAACTGGGAAAATGAAACGAAATAAATTTCCAGCTAAAATCTAGTGAAATCCGTTTGAAATTGTCGCCCTACACGTTTTCCAAGGAAACAAAACCAATAATTAAATATAAACTGAATGCATTTGATTTAATTTCTGTTTAAGTCTCTAAATAAACGGAAAATGAATACACATACAATAATAAAATGAAATGTTAACAAGAATTTGCAACTAATTGGTGTAACTTTTTCTCCACTTTGCCAGGCAACGGTACAATTGATTTCCCAGAATTCCTTACCATGATGGCACGCAAAATGAAGGACACCGATAGCGAAGAGGAGATTCGGGAAGCCTTCAGAGTGTTCGACAAGGATGGCAACGGCTTCATTTCAGCGGCCGAATTGCGTCACGTAATGACAAATCTGGGCGAGAAATTAACAGACGAGGAGGTCGATGAGATGATCCGTGAGGCTGATATCGATGGTGATGGTCAGGTCAATTACGAAGGTAAGCATGTGCTCCCACCCCACCACCCACCACCCACCATATCAAATGCCCCCCTCCCTCAACATGCTGTCAACAACAACAACAGCGACTGGGACTAATCTGGCTTACGTGTTGTTGTCGCGTGTCGTGTTGTTGCTGCTGCTGCTGTTGCTGTTGTTGTTGTTGTGTCGTGTCATGTCATCCACTAATTGGATATTCGCACAACAGTTGTTGTTGTTGTTGGCTTTGGTAATTGCATGTGTACAATTGACTTATTGCTTGGTTATGTGTGTGCGATGCCAAAACATTCGCATAGCTGCCGATTGAATCATACACCCAACACACAAACACACACACACCCAACACACACTCGAACTATGTTTGAGTCACAATTGGCACTTGTTTTGTCATGCGTTACTTTTTACTCATGATATTTTATATAAACTGATTCATTAGTCGCCTTCTTTTTTTTTTTGCGTGCAAAAATCTCTATACATATATATGTCTATCGCATTTTGAATACCCTTTAATTCAGTTGGAAGAGCATTTTGAAAGCCTGAACATATTTGAGTTCCATAGAAGTCTATAGTTAACTTAATTTTCATGAGAAAAGTGCGTTATTAAGCTTTTTTTTTATTTAGACGAGGATTCCAATAATTGATGCATAGAAATACATTCAGTTACAGTGAACACTCGCTAAGAAGACTTGAACGTCTTGCTTTCAAAGAATTGCAATTCCACTTTTCTGCACTCAAATAAAGACAACAAATCGCGATGTGCTTAAGATCTTTATAGAAAGATATAGAAAGAATAATAAAATATATTCGATTATATTAATCTGGACTCAAATATCTATTCCCTATTCCTATTCCCCCTCATTATAAATATTGTTCATGCACAAGCTAGAACGCTTCGTTCTAGGGTATCAACGAGTACATCATGGCATTACAATTCTCAAAAATTTTTCTTTTTGTGTGTTCTTCGAAATTTAATTTAATTGCTTGAAAATTGAATTTTCAATTGAGCAAACTAGAGAGCAAACCCTGAAGAAAAACTACTTATATACAAAAGTACAAAAACAACAACAATAATAATAACAAGAAGCAATATAGAATCAAGGTGTTAAGATTTCGTTCATGCTGTGTCGTACGCCCCCCTCCCGTCCCCTACCACCCAAACCCGCCCTGCCCTCCCGCCGGCGCGTTGCTTTAATTGTACTTGGAAGCAACAAAAACTGAAATGATTTGCTGCGCGGGGTCCGCACCTGCCCCGCAATAGCAATCAGATGTCGGGCAAATACACAGAGATATATGTGCATATATATGTGTATATATACCTGCATATATATATTTGTCTAGAACGTATCGAGTTGAGCAGAACGCACACCGAAATTGTGCCTCAAGTTCAAATAAAAATCGTTTGGCGCAAAATCTTTGCGGATCAAATAGATTAATCACAAGCAATTTATGAACAAAACATAAAAATAACCAACTGAAACGGTATAAAATAGGTGTAGACCCTTTTTGAAATCGCGCAACGCTACAAATCTTTTTGTGAAAGTCAAGGCGGAGAAAATACTACAAATTATGGTATTCGTACGAGCGAAATAGATGTGATTAGGGCTCTGACAATCTATTTGGGAAGTAAATTAATCAGTTGCAAAATGCTTTAATAATTTGATTTGCCAAATCAGTTGTTAATCAGCTTATTAAATTTGAAATCGCATGATAAGACGAAGGTTCATTATGAAAAGGTTCTTGTGCTTGAGCTTGGTTATAAATTACAGCATTTATTTCGTTGAAATCTAATCTTTAAACGGGTTTTATTTGTCATATAAAATTATTAATTTATATTGCCAAAAGATGCTTTGTGGGCACAATTCACAACGTCAAGAGTTACTAAGTGTGCTTTTGTTTAAATCAAAATTGTATACGACCTTCTATTAGCAGCAGTTATTAAACCTTCAGAATAAGCGAGCTTGTGACATCTGTATTTAGACGGGTTTAAATATGCGATTCCAATTTTTGTTGTCAAAAGAGTATAGAAAGGGAAAGAGTTAAATTAAAGAAACTATATTAATTGTAATAGTTTTCATTTCAGTAGAAACTATTTTTATGGGTTTCCAGTTGCAGAAGTTATATTATTTATGAGTAGGCAAAATAATAGAGAAAATATGCATTTATTCGCTTATTATTCTGTACTCTCTTTTTCTTTCTATCATTTCCTCTCGCTCTCTTTCTCTGGCTTTTTCTCTTCCCTTCGCTCTCTCTCTTTCCTACTCTCGCGCTCTCTCTTTCTCACTCTGTATCTCTTACCTTTGCTCTCTCTCTCTCTCTCTTTCTCCCTCTTTTACTCACTCTCTTGGCACCATCATCTATTACTGCACTCTGACTCTGTCCTCGTCCCTCTCTCGTTATTTTGCTCTCTCTCTCTCTCTCTCTCTCTCTCTCTCCTCTCTCTCTCTCTCTCTCTCTCTCTCTCTCTCTCTCACTCTCTCTCTCTCTCTCTCACTCTCTCTCACGCTCTCTAACTTGATCCCTTCTGTGCCAATTAACTAAGCTGCCTGCTACGTCTGACCTCCATTTGTACGTTCTCTCTTGTGCTACTATTTACGCACTCAACAGCTGCCTGCTACGGCACTCAGATCACATGGTCGCATTTGCACATTTGTCAGCTGTTTTATTCCCAACGGGCTTTTCCGCAGCCTACGCGCGCAAAGTGAAATGTTTCATAGGCGAAAAAAACATAAATATTAAACGGCAATAGCATCAGGGAAGTGAAACAACAACAATTAAAATCAAATATAAATATTGTGCAATAATCTGAAAAACAAAAGAACACAACAACAACAACAAAATGAAATAAGAATAAGAACAAGAACAAGAGTGAGAGCGAGAGGGAGAGGGAGAGGGAACAGCAATAACTGGCAGCAGGCAATTTGGCGAGCTGTTTGAACATTGACCGACAACCCGAACACCCAGAACACCCCGACGCACACCTAGATACACATTTATAGTATATATATAATTATATATATTATATAGTATATAGCGAAATGAGCATAACATAAATAAATGCTCGTTGTTGCCGTTTGCTTGTTGCCAATTAACCAAAGTCTTTATTGTTGTCTTGGCTTGTTTGTTGGTAAGGGCGGCTCTTTTCGGGGTTCTTCGGCGGGATGGTGTGCGGCATCTGAAAATTATATAGCGCAAACAATGGGCCGGACCCGACTCTATGGCTATATGCACAAGTATGAGACTTACTTTGGCCCCATGCCAAATATAAAAATGTTGTCAGAAAATAGGCGAAAAGGCAAATAAAAGAATTAACGCAAAAAAAAAAGAGAAAAAATTGTAGAAACAGAGGCGAAAATCAAATAAAATGTTAAGCAAAATACAAAGAAAAACAAATTCAACATTAGCACAGAAGCGCGGCAAAATAATGTATGGCAAAAAAAAAACGCCTAAAATAATGGAAAAGGAAAAAAACCGAGTATGAGCTGGCGAATGTAAACAAAACGACGAAAGATAAACAGCAGAGCCACAAAAGCCCCAAAAGTGCGGGTCGCGCGGGGGCGAATCGAAAAACACCTCCAAATGTTCTTTTTGCACCATAAAATAGAGTTGAAATTTTATTTTAATCGCCCAAACCCCAAACGCAACGCTAAATTCTCGAAATCAAACCCATTAAGAAAATTTGCTCTGAACAAAAGCAAAAAAGGAACTTGGAAATGTCAAGGCCCAGCCCCGAAGCCAAACACATGATCAATTTCTTACGCCAACTCGTTTTGGGTTGGGTTCGAGGACAGAAGCTAAGAAAAACTAACCATTTGCATATTTGTGCCGTGTCAGCAGAGATAATAACGGAAAGGTTGTCAGGGCGTGCCCCCTGAACTTTTTGCCATTCAGTTCGCATATCGAACGTTGCGTTTCTGCCTATAATAACGTTTTATTTTTAAAACAGTTTACGCTGCAAAGTTTATTACTTAACGAGCAAAATGCGCGGCACTCGGTCAAATGGCTTATTCTATAGAGGAGTGTAAGATAAGGGATTCAGTTTGTGGGGCGCCACGCATCAGATGTGAAATTTCTTTGAAAATCAATTGTCTAAAACAATCGGAATTGGAACAGGGATTACAATGCATGTGAAACAAATGGAAATAGTGCTATATATTTTTATACATCTTTGGATTGGAACGGTAAAATAATTGAAACAGACACAACTGGAAACGGGCACAAGAGAACCTGAACTGGAATGAGTTTTATATAAAATGGATTTGACGGAAGGAATATATTATAAGAATCACAGAAAATAAATAGAAATGTAGAATTGGAACACAATACAATGCAGAATAAAGCTGAAAGGAACAGTGTGGATTAGGAACAAACTTAAATGAAAACTAAGCTGACTTTATAAAACATTTGAAACGTGCGAAATAGTTGGATGGACTTCTATTTTATTTAAGTGTACTATTTATGATCCCGTGCTAGCTCTGGTTAGATCTAATTGTCTTGGGTCAGTCACAGGTTATCAATCAGGTGTTGTGGGTCGCGTCCCCCTCATTGCGTCCGTCTTACGTATTTGATGTGGCCAACAGGCCAATGTTTTTCACATGCAGCAAATATTTTAAAAATGCGCGCGATCACAACAAGAGACAGAAGCAGCAGAAGACCAGTAGAACAATAGACCAAATGCAATCACACGAACAGCAACAGCAACGCGGCTTGCATATGCAAGGGGCGGTTGCGGCGGTGGGCAGGGGCTTGTGGAGGCAGTCACTTGTCTATATTTAGGAGCTGCATGCAAACACCTGATATATCGGGGACACGAATGCCGCAACCAGCTGCGGAAGCGTTTCAGCGGCCAACGTTCGGTGACAGCGTTGCCAATTTGTGCCCTCCCCCTACCTGTCTCTCGCTTTCTCTCGCTTTATGCACAATCGCCCCTTAATTAAATATATACCCAAACACACAAATCTCCACTGATTGCGCGCTCGATGTTCTTCAGCTTTTAGCAGGCAAAAAGAAAATCTGTTCAAATCGAACAATGCCCGCGCTTTGCCATTGGGAACACTTTTCATCTTTATCTCGACTCTCGACTGCTCTTTGTCTCGTTTTCCTGCTCTGATTGCAGTCGCTATTTATGGTCCACATACTTAGCAAAGTAATTGGGGATAGAGTACATGCCGCGCGGGGTCTATTCACTTTAACTATGTTCCCAGTTTTCCTCCATTATTTCCTCCAAAATTGCTATTATGTTGCTTACAAACATGTGTAACTTCATTCATTGTATATATTATTATTGGAATTTTGGAAGTGGAACATTTTAATATTCCTGTTTTACCTATTTATCAAATATTTCTGAAACGTTTGAAATGGAACATGTTTTAACGTGGCATTTAAGAACGCTAAGAAATATAAAACTCTTTCATGAAACATTTAAAATGGAACATGTTTCAGCTTGCCATTCAGAAGCACTATAGGAAACGCGGGGTTTTTGAAACGTTTGAAATGGAACATGTTTCAGCTCTTTATTCCACCCTTCTTTTCTTCAAATTAATTTTTCATTTTTTTTTCTTTCCCCCCATTGTATTTATATGGTCTTTTAATCTGGCGCGTCGGGCAGCGGCACTTAATAAATGTTCCCCCGATTTTTCTTGAATATACGAGCTCTGAGCCGCTTTTCGTCGCCAGTCAGCGGCCCCGTGGCATCTTGTGACTCGCCTATTTGTCTTATTGATTAGTTGAGAAATCTTTTGGGTCTCGGCGTACGCCAAATCTATTTACAGTTCTGGTTGGGATTCTTGATGTTGTTGTAATGCTTGTCGAACCATTATAATGATTAGTTGTAGTCTTTTTAAGAGACGGTAAAGTGCTTAAGTTCATTGTAAATGCTGCTTGTAAATTTACAAGCTACTAACTAGGATTCCGTTGAATTGAACTTTCATTTATTTGGATCAAAGCTATTCAAGAAAGCAAACTTTTATCTAAATTTAAGTTTTGATTGTGTTTTTGAAATTACCAATTAATTATATATTTCTGCTATCTATCATTTCAGAATTCGTGACTATGATGACATCGAAGTGAAGCGTTAAATTATTTCTTTTTAAGCCTTTCTATTTTTTTAAGATGTTGACGAAGACTGTAGCTGTGCGCAATAACATCGCGCCGCGCTGTTGCTATGGACCCCAGTAAAAGATCTTAAAAAAACAACAAAGAGTTAAGCAAAAAACAAAACAACAACAAGAAGAAGAAACATAAAAAACAACAACATTTAAGAAACTTATAAAAAAAATGAAAAGAACTTACACTTAAACGAAGCATAAACAAAAAAAAGAAAAGAGAAAAGCAAAAAGCAAGAAAATTTAAACAAGCAAAAAATGAGAAAAAAACCCAGAAAAAATTACATGAAAAATTATATAAAAAACAGAACACACTTAATTTTAATGCAAAAAGCGAAAAAGAAAAAAGAAACCAACAACAAAACAGCAAAACTTAAAGAAGTCACCGTTTAAACAACAACAAAAAGCATGTTATAAGTAAACAACAACAAAAATTAAACTACTACACTTAACTACAGGCATACCACACTATAACAAACAACACGACAACAACAACAACAACAAACAAACAAACAACAACAACCAGAGAACTTTGAGCAGTCGCCAAGGCAAAGAGCGCAGCGCCCTCTATCGGGAGATCAGCGCCAGCTGGCGGCGAACATTTCAACTGTGTAAAACTAAATTGTTTCAAGTATAAACACGATTTGTCGAATTTGTTGCAAAAATAAAAAAAATGTTTAACAAAAACAAATGAAAAATAAAACAAAATCAATTTGTAATTTTTGCAAAAAGTAAAACAAAACTGGCAAAGTTTATATAGACACCAACAACAGCTCTACACACACACTCACACTCACACACACACATACACATACACTTCACACAAACAAAACACCGTCACACACACATACACACACACACACATGTCAAACAACCAGAAATAAAATATATTATAAATACAACATATATATATTATAAATAATGTAAAATCAAACAACAACAAATTCTTCTTATTAAATTATATTTAAATTTAAAATTAATAAATATAAAAAAAAACAAACAACAAAAATAAAAATTACAAAAAAAAAACAACAAAACCAACTAAAAAAAATACATTTTCGATATAAAATTAAATTGAATTATGCAAAATATATATATATATATATATATATATATATATATATATATATAGTTAAATATGGCGCTATATATATATATGCATATGTCTGGTATCTGACTGGTCCAGAGTCCAGCTTTGGCGCGCTGAGGAAGGGTTTTTTTCCAACTCAAATGTTGGCATTTGAGGTTCGGTTAGGACCGCCACCCCATCACCCAGAAGGGGGGTGAGGTCCAGTGTTTGGCAGCGTTATGCAACTGAAAAAAAAAATTTGTAGTCTACGAATTGTCTATATATACATATATATACATATACCTATATTGATATTGATAAATGCAGCATTAAAATTGAAAAAAGCAAATCGCTAAAACAGCAACAACTACACATTTCTCTAGTACTTAAGAGGCAGCAAGAACAAGTTAAACTAACCTATAAATATATATATATATATACTTAAAGAAAAATGAAAGAAAATTAACATAATTTTATTATAAAGAATATACAAATTAAATATTTATATGCGGAACAGAAGCGGAGAAGCAGAACAAGAAGATTTCATCAAACACACACATATAAAAAATAATTAAAAGGAACAGCTAGAAGAAGACAACTCTTAACGGCAAACTAGACGACGAAGTAGTTGAAGAAGAAGCAGCAACAACAGCAGCATAAAATTTACAATATATATATATATATATATTTAAAAATAAATTATATTATGAAGCAAAAAAAAAACACAAAAAAAGAAGCTTAAGCAAAGACACTTGTCGCAAAATACTTGTTAAGCTAAATGGCAAAGCAAAAAAAAAAAACAAACTCAATATATATGTGTATATATGTATATTATTATATATGTATTATATTGTGCCTATATAATAATATATGTATATTGTTTTTAAGTTAAGTGAGCTTACGATAAATTGCAAACAAACCTTCGAAGGCACCGCAAGAGCTGCACTCTCTCTGAGCGCAACTGTACTTCTCAAGACGCAAAAGAAACAAAAGAAAACACAACTGTACCCAAAGTCGGTGCGCATAAGCCAGACCTAACCTAAAAACTAAACACAACTGTACTTATTGTTGAGCTGACTTTAATTTAGTTTCATATCGAAAACGTTTCCTTGTTTCCTTTCAACTTACCCCTCTGCTCGTTTTCCCCCCCTTAGCCCCCCCTCTAGCTATTGTTGCTCTTGTTGAACGTTCTTCTATAACTATCCACACCAGAATACACTACACTACACCACACTACACTGCACTACACTACACTCGGATACGCATCTCATCATTATGTCACACGTTTCGTTACACTCTTCTCCCCACTGCAAATAAAATCAACTGTGAGTATAATATATATGCATATAATATTGATAATGATACGGATGGTTTACATTTATGATAAAGTTAATTATTATTCTATATATATAATAACATTTTGGGTTTGCTTGATCTTTGGAACGAGACCCTTAGGTTCCGCGGGCAACAGCAAAAAAAAAAAGACAAAAAAAAAACACCACAAACACTTTTCTATAACTTTTTTTAAACAAAAACAAACATTTTGTAGCGAAAATTGTGCAAGTTTTAAAAACAAGAAAACATTTAAACTAAAGCAAGTTATATCTATGATCATATGGTCTCTATATAATACCAAAAAAAGCAAAAACCAAACTCTAAACTTAAACAAAAATTTAACTTTAAACTAAACACGAATTTTTCTAACTACGCAAAAAAGAACAGAAAACAAAAGAAGAAAATACAAGAACTTAACACTTGAGCCAGTATCCTTTTGTGACAAAATGTTTTTTGTGCGGCTTGAATTTGAGACGGTCTGGCAACCCTGACGACGCATTTCCATTGCAAATTGCAAACAGTTAACAAAAGCGCAAAAAGGAAGTTGTCCGGCGAGTCGCGGCATTGAATAAACCAATGAAAATTTGTAGCTAATTTGCCTAAAAAAAAAACAAAGCAAAACAAAACAAAAGAAAAAGCAACAACAAAATGTCTTAAATATTTATAAATTCTCATTTGCAAGGCAAAAGGCAGTCGCAGAACAAAACTAAATAAATTTGTGAACCATATGCAGCAGCCGAGGCGAGCGTTAAATGTTACAATATATATATAAAGCTTAAATATTTATATATATATGTGATCATGTAAAAGATTGACACACAAAATGCAAAATAGGAACATTAAAAAGAACTTCTTTAAAACAAAAAAAAATACACAAACATTTTAAAAACCTCGAAACAAAAACAAAACAAATTGTGTTTTTCTTTTTGTTTTTGGCATATATATTTTCTTTCTGTTTTTTTTTTTTTGGGATTGGCTATTTTACAGACAACACTCAAATGATTCGGCCACACTTAACATTTGCCATGCGTCATTCATGCGTCTTCTTCTTGCCGGCCGACGAGCTCCATAGGTCAAGTGGTTAGGCCCACGCCTCCGCCCCCGCCCCCGCCCCGTGCGCTGGATGAAAGTCTTAATGTGTCCTGCGGGTATCGAGGAATACGCAACGCATCCTGCATTCTATCCATGAATTTAAACTAACCAACCACCTATAAAAATGTTTTCAGTAACGAAAAATAAGTGTATAAACTATGACAAATCTTCAAAAGCAGCAGAAACTAATAAAACTACATAAAGCATATTTTGAATGTCTATATAATAAATATATAAATATATATGATAAATACAATGCATATATTAGCCATATGTACCTATACCAAAGATATATATATATATATATATGTAGTGTACGCACCTAGAAGAAACACAAAAACGAAAGATTTGAAAAGTTCTCCAAAACTTGATTCCTAAATGTTTTTAAAGTTCACGCAAATTTAGCACAAATTGGATGTATTTTTCGATTGTTGTACATAGAAAAAATTGCACTAAATGTGTCTAAAATAACCGATATATCTGATATATATATATATAAACGCCATATAATACAGATATTGATGTTGTGCTTAGTTTGTAATATTCTCAAAACTTCTAAATGTGCAGATTCAAATATATACAAACAAATAATAAGCAAAACTAATTGGAATGAAAAGCAATTGTAGGCCTTGGGCAAGTGAACCCAAAATCAAATTTGTTGATATTTCAAAAACACTTTTGAACACTTTCGTGCTGAACAAGAGTAATTTCTATATAAGAATTCAATTAATTATAATTAAGTATTTAATAGATAATACTTTAGTTTATATTTAATTCAATGTGTCTCTTTTTTATACTCTGTTCCGATCTCCGCGCTGTTTGCAAAACTCATAAACGATTCAATTCCGCACGTTCCACCAATTATTTCCTTGGTGTTTAGAATCACGAGCGAAATCGTTTCGTTTTTGCTTTTTCCAAATCGATTTCGATAACTTTTCGATAGCAAAACCAGGCAACTGTATGAACTTGTGTGTGCGTGTGTATGTGTATGTGAATGCGAACTAAACTATAAAAAAAAATAATTATTAAACGCCCATTTGCTTATCAAAAACATATTCCAAAATAAAAGATGAGAATTTCCCAAACCCAAAAATATTTAAACGGAATTCGGAACAGCATAAAAGATATTTGTTTGAAACGTATATTAGAGTTTGAGTTAGATTCCGTTGTTTAAGATTTAACTTAAATCTAGCTTAATTTAAGTATTTGTATTTGCATTAAGTACATTTTGTGTAGCTTCAAAGTATGCAACACTTTTTGTAAGTTTTTGCCTTGTCCAAGTTCGTAATCTTTTGAAATATACTATAATTTGCCATATGCCAGCACACACACCCCACACACAGCACACACACACACCACACACACACACACACACACACACACATCACACATCACATACACACTCTCACTGAAAGAACATTTCTGGGTTTTTGCAACATTTTGTGGACTGCGAAATTGTTTGAATTTTCTTCAAACAGCTACAACAACAACGGCATCGAATTTTAAGATACATATAAAAGAATATATATATAAAATCGAGAGATTCAGCGCATAAGCTGTTAATTTTAAGCATATACAGATTATGAAAATCCTAAGTGTTGAGAAAATATAACGAGTATATGATATATATTTAGTCTAAAAAAC